GGGTCGGCTTTGACTCTCGGCCGACGCTTCCCATGGCTGACTGGGCTGGGGCGTGCTCCGCCGGGCGCAAGGCCCGAGGTCCCCGCGGCCCCCGAAACGTCGCAGGTAGGGAGAACGGCCTGCTCCCACGTTTGAGCCCAGAGAAGTGAACGCCGGCAGAGTTCCAGACCGAGGCGCGCGGGGCGCTCCCGAAAGGTTGCCTCAGGGGAGGAGGTCTTCGGGGCAGAGAAGGCCGAGCGCCCCCGCCGCCGACCTTGCGGCTTCTGGGAAGAAGCTTCGGCCCGACCCCACCTGTTTACGCTGATGTTCCGAGATTTCCCCCCGAACGGGCTCTGAGGGAAAGGGCTGCTGGGGTCGCCAGAGTGGACAGGTGACCAGGGCGGCATCCGCAGGCCCTGTGCAGCTGGCCTGGAGCCTCGCACTGGTCCTCCTTCCAGATGTGCTGCTGCTTTGCTGCCCCGGTTCTCTGGGGTGTCGGACGCCCCCCTTTACCCGGGAAGGAACATTTGGGGGATGGAGGGAGGTTGCCCCTAGAAATACCCAGATCTCAATCTTTCAGGGGTGCTTAACTAAAGAAAGAGAAAAAACTATAGAAAAAAAAATTAGTTTGTAAAACCAAATTGGATTCCCTTCCCATTTCATTTGATTTACACACAGAATTGGAAGTGAAATGGAAAAGAAGAAAAGAGGGCCTACATTTTATTTGGACAGGAATCTGCCCTGTATCCTGGTGTGTTTGTGTAGACTTGACCTACTGATTTTTGTTTCTTTTAATTGTAGGTACTAAACAGACAAATGCCTTGAAACAAGAAGCAGCTTCTAAAAGGTATGAGAACTACTCAGACAGCTGCTTTCACTTATCTGCTTATCTCGTACTAATTGAATCATTTTAAAAAACAATAGGTGCTACCTTAGAGAAAATTATTTTGAGAGAAGGGAAAGATCTGGGAAATACTATAAATTCTAACATAGAGTTTACTTCTGCTACTCTGCACTTTAAGAAAACCAAATGAGACACTTCTAGACTGCTAGTACGAGTAGCTGCAGAAAGGTGTCAGTGCCTGAATCAACCAGGTCTATTTTCTCCACCTCTTCAGATACTCTCCTTTTTTTGCTTTAGATGCCAGAGACTCCAAGAAACCTTGTTGTTGCTCTTTGTTTACATCATGTCCGCATTTGCAGCAAACAGTTGTCCTGTACTGTCTATAGGCTTCTCCTAAAAAGGCAAGATTTATCTCCTGTCACAAAAGGTTTTTAGAATAGGAGTAGTCTCTCAGAATGATTAAAAATAAATGTATGTCTGTACCTTATCATTTTATGAAGTGTCGGCTTTGGCCTTGATTTACTTATTCTTTCAAAAATCATTTGATGAGTGTAAGATATGCCAGATCTGTGTTAGGCCCTGAGGATATGATATTCTGTTGTTCTTGTTGAATCAAATTTATTGTTTTTAGACAGTTTTAGAAGTTACTTTCCATTTACAATTATTAAAAATATTGGCTACATGTATGTATATATATATATATATATGTTGTACAATATATCCTTGAGCCTGTCTTGCACCCAGTAGTTTGTGCCTCCTACTTTTCTACCCCTACATTGTCCCCCTCCCCCACTGATAATCACTGCCTGTTCTGCATATCTGTGAGCCTGCTTCTATTTTGTTGTATTCATCAGTTTTTTTGTATTTTTTAGAGCCCACATATAAATGATATCATATGATATTTTTCTCTAACTTATTTCACTTAGCATAATGCCTTCCAACTCCATCCATGTTGCTGCAAATGGCAAACTTTGATTCTTTTTCATGACTGAGTAGTATTCTATTGTGGGTGTATCTGTATGTATATATACAACATCTTCTTTATCCAGTCATCTGTTGATGGACACTTAGGTTGATTCCATATCTTGGCAGTTGTAAATAATGCTGCTATGACATTGGGATATTTGAATTAGTGTGTTTGGTTTTTGGGGTTTTTTTTTTTTTTGGATATATACCCAGGAGTGGAATTGCTGAGTCATATGGTAGTTCTATTTTTAGTTTTTTGAGAAACCTGCTTACTGTTTTCCACAGTGGCTGCACCAATTTACATTCCTACCAGCAGTGTACAAAGGTTCCCTTTTCTCCACAGCCTCACCAACATTTGTTATTTGTGTTCTTTTTGATGATAGCCATTCTGACAGGTGTAAGGTGATATCTCATTGTGGTTTTGATTAGAATTTCCCTGACGACTAGTGATGTTGATCATCTTTTCATGTGCCTGTCAGTCATCTGCATCTCTTTGGAAAATGTCTGTCAGGTCTTCTGCCCTTTTTAAAATTCAGTTGTTTGTTTGATATTGAGATGTATGAACTGTTTATATATTTTGGATACTAACTCCTTTTTTGGTCATATCATTTGCAAATACTTTCTCCCATTTAGTAGGTTGTCTTTTCATTTGTTAATGGTTTCTTTTTGCTTTTCTCTTGCTGCTTTTAATAGTCTCTTTATCTCATTTTGATTGCAGCGTGTCTTGGTGTGTTCCTTTTTGAGTTCATCCTGTATGGAACTCTCTGCACTTCCTGGGCTTGGGTGACTGTTTCCTTTACCAGGTTAGGGAAGTTTTCAGCTATTATATCTTAAATGTGTTCTCAGACTCTTTCTTCTCCTTCAGGTACCCCTATAATGCAAATATTAGTGTGTTTGGTGTTGTCTGAGAGGCCTCTTAAACTGTCCATTTCTTTTCATTCTTTTTTTTTCCTTTTCAGTGGCAGTGATTTCCACTACTCTTTCTTCCAGCTCACTGATCTGTTTCTCTGTATCATTTAGTCTACTATTGATTCCTTCTAGTGTGTTTTTCATTTTAGTTATTGTATTCTTCACCTCTATTTGGTTGTTCTTTATGTTTTCTAACTCTTTGTTAAAAACGTCT